TTCTGGGACACCATCATCACTGGATCCTAACCAGAACTCATCTGGGATATCCTGTGGCTGTCACAAGTCTTGGAGATCTTGCGGGTTATCCTTCCACAGGACTAGTCTCTTCAGCAGCTCCAGCTGGTCCTAGATGGGTTAGATGCTAGGGTGGGTCATCCCAAGGCCCAGCTATGGGCCTGCATAGTAACCAAACTGGTCAGTTCAGGCCTTAGGTGAGTGGGTGGAGCAGCTCCCTTATTCACATAATTGTTGCTGGAAGGTTTACTAAGTAAAAGAAAGAAAATGAGATGGGAATGTAAAGAGGAAGGAAGAGAGAGGGAAACTGAGATTTCAGGAGCAAAAGGGAACAGGGGAGTGAAATGAAGAAATTGGTTAGTAGTGAAGATAAATCTTTCTTGAGCAAAAGCTGCACACTGCCTGTTGATGCCGGACAGAGCAAGTGAAAAGTACGTCTTAGAAATCAGATCAGATCAGTTGGTGATGAGAACCAGCTTAATTGGGAAATAGAAGCCTGTGTTTGAGTAAGAAGCACATCGCAGAATTTGGAAGTGTGAGATGTTTTAAGGTCTTAGTTGGTTGGTTAATTAGTTGTTTTGTTGGTTGATTTGTTTTTATTGGAGAGATTGTCTTGTCTTGTTGAAACAGGATCACAGTATTTAACCCAAGCCTGCCTCAAACTTCAAATTCTTCTGCCTTAGCATCCCAAGTGCTAAAATTACAGGCTCTCATCCTGTGAGATAGTGTTTGTAATGAGATAGAGATAGGTTAGCAAATCCTCAGGAAGGTCAAGATGCTTGAAACGGCCTCATTGAAGAATTGTGATTATATATTGCTTCTCCATATTTATTGTCTGCTCCAGTGACTTTGTGCCCCAACAGTAGCAGAAGCTAAGGAACACCTGTTTCTTAATGATCTGAAAATGAAACTATGGGCTGAAGGTACAAGCTTCCTTCCTCCTCTCAGTATGTGCAGGAAGAACGAGACACAAAGACCAGGATGAGCAGAAGAAAAGTATGATTCTGTAGAGACAGTATGTAAGTTCTGCTGTGAGATTCCTTTGTGGTCTCTGATGATGGTCATTTGTTTGAGACGTTCAAATAAGATTCTGATTAGTTGCTTAGGTGAAGCATTTGTCGAGCAGCTGACTGTGCGCCACAGACGGTACTCTGATTGAAGTAAACTAGGTTATGCTGCAGTAGGGAACACTTCCACACCCCATAGGATTTAGTCACTTAGACAAAAGAATCTCCTTTCATCTCCGTATGCCGCTGCATATGGGACAAGTCTCCACGTGACCACCTGAACCTGCTTATCTTAGCGCAGCGTCTCTGCAGAATTTCCTAAGCTATCTGGAACTGCTCTCAGATGTGTTGATCTGAAGGTCATGTGTGCCATTCAGCTTGTAGTCCTTTGGTTGGAACTGGTCCTCACCCTCAGAAAGGGAGTAAATACGGAATTTATGTCCCCAGAAATAGAGACCTGGGTATTAATGAACGCAAATAACATCCTCCATTGCTTAACTCTGCACTTGGTACCCAGTGAACAAAGCAGGCATCATCTGCCCTTCCCACAGAACTCTGGATGCAGAAGAATATGCTTCTGGAAAGAGCGAGGTTCCCCCAAGCCAGGCAGGAGCTAGATCAAAGACTGCTCAATATATACACACTTATGTGGGAAAATCAGAAATGGTAACAGTATAAGTGACAAGTATGGAGAACTTAGAAATCCTCAATAAATATTTACTGAATGAGTGCTAAGTGAGGAATAAGAAGAAATTTAGCTCTCTGAAACGAAACAGGAAAGGCAACAGAGAGAGACAGATATAGGAAGAAAAAACACATGGAAACAGTTTATGCTTTTCAAATGTTCTGAATAATATTTGGGAATAAAAGCTGTTCTTGCCGTATCTTCAGCTTCCAGGAAGCCTGAAATATTTTCCTGCTGGTCTCTTCTGCTGTAGTGGGGGTATGGAGGAATGAATTCCCTGCCAGACTGTTCTATCCTTACCTACGCACTAGGACGGGTATGATCAGGAAGACTGAACCCTGCCACATTGACTGAAATGTCTTGTTTATTAAAACAAGTTTGCTTGACTGGCATTTGTCAAATATAGGGTCGTGGGAAAACAAATGGGAACAGCTGGGTACTGAAAGGATCAAACCTATGAACATAGAGCTGTGGCATACTATTAGAAGTCGGTCTTTTATGTTCAAAATCATTTACATAAGCAAAGCATATTAGAAGCAAAATAGAAAACAAGCCAAAACAAACCTAACAATTTAGAGATGAACCTCGAAATTGGCATCTATTTGTCCTGCACAGGCAAATTGTAAAACTCATGCTTCCCTACAAATCTTGTTACTCTTGAGTACCAAGAATTGGCTATTAAATACTTAGTACTGGGTGTTTTTCCATGTCCAGAAGCATACAACATTATTTTTAATGATTGCTAAGATTTGTATCGTATGTATCAAAAATATATTTTATTGTTACCACTTTAGATTTTTACAAAGTTGCCATTATAAGTACTGCTGTTATGAATGTTGTAGAATTTCTGTATGTGTCTTTTTAGGCTGAATTTCATAAGTTATCATTATTAGAGGAAAAGTGATGCACACATTAAGGCTTATGGTGACTATTGGCAAATTGCCCTCTAAAGACTATATCACCCATTTCCCACAAGAAACGAGAGAACGGAAATGTGGATCTCGAGACAAGTTCCTTGTGAAAAGCACATTTCTTGTTGATAGCGGGTGTGTCGTCATCAGACCCTTCACTGTCCATGCAATACTTTCTGCTTCAACCTCCTGGAGGACAGTTTCACATTTAGACTGATTTGAGCGTAATTTAAGACATAGTAGCATGTTCCGCTAAATGGGTTCATTAGTATCAGAGGCAGTGCATGGCCCATTGGATATCTAGTGTCCTTGCAGGATGCCATACCTGCATCCTTGCTCTCTCTCCATTCATTACTCACACCTTGTAAGTATGGTTGTTCTATGTGGAACTCTTTAAAGGGTAATGATAAATGCATACATGTGATGCTGGTGGTGGTTTTTTGGTATTTGTTTTCAGCTGTATTTGTGACGAAACAAAATGAAACAGGATTCACACCAGTCTGTTTTGTGTTCTTATACAAAATGATTATTGAATATTAAAAGTTTTGTCTACCTACAAGAGATCTAAAGTTTGTGGTAGGTTGCAATGCATTTGTTTCATATAGAAGCAATGAAAATGTTTGTTCATAAATCCTACTGCCTTTTAAATACTGGAAGTTTTGGGAACTATACTCTTTACCAAGTTAAGTCTCATCTCACCTACAAACTGCACCTTTTTTTATGTTTCCATGAATGTGCCCATCCCTACCCCTCCACACACACACACACACACACACACACACACACACACACACACACACACGAGACAATATTTAGAATACACAATATACCAGGGATCGGTAGCCAGGTTTTTGGAGCGCCAAATGAAAAATTTAGAGAACTGAGTGGCTAGATTTCCCTACAGTGTTACTCTCCCTTTACACTGTATTATGTTATATTGTTTCCATCCTTTTCATCTAAGTATCTCCAAGAGAATCAGACTAAAAGAGCATCTCACAGATAAGGTGGCAGTTATTTGATTGATATGGTTGAAGACTGCATATGGTATATTCTTTCCTCTCAAACTGTTTGGAGTCTCTGTTCTGGCCCACAGCGGTAGTATATATGAAAACTATCCAAACACTTCCCAGTGGTACATGTATATACTACACATCATCTTAAAAAGCAATGAACATTTTGCCATTGCATCCTTTATTATTTGAAGTAAATCAAACTGAGAGACATAGCACTTAAAACAAATTGTTTGAGAACTCTAATTTTATAAGATCTTACAGTTTCATACGATTATAAATGCTGTTTTAAATGTTAATTAGAAGATGCATTTGTTTCAATTCATGATACTGAAAATATTGAGTAAATTGTGAATTAACACATTAAGGGGTACAGATGTCATTTTTCATGAGGTTTCCTGAATAATGTAATTTTCATATTTCATATAGCAGTTTAATAATTTTACAGATTTATTTTATATAATTAGTAAATGAGAAATTCAATTGCTAGTATATAGCTATTTTCTGTAATGAAAAAACTCAAATTTCTGAATTATAAATAAAAAACAAATATTTTGAAGACATCTGGTCTACATCTGTCTGAAATAAGATAATTTAAAAACAGTATAAATAAATGCAAGAAATACTGTAATATTCACACCTTAGAATATTAAAACATTTATTCCATTTAAATATGATTTAATTGGTTAAAGGGTATTTTTTTTTAATTTTAGTATCTTTTAACCTCTCATTCTGTCATTAGAAAAGACTGACAAACTGAAGAAGCCAAAAACATTGGATAATTTTCATGCCTGTGCTCAAGGGAAGTGTGCTCCTTTCTCCTGACTCCTTTCCGTGTCGGCCAGCCTCCATGCTCTGAGCCAATATTTAGTATACATAGATTCAAACTTATCCAACCCTTTTATTGCATTATAATTTTCTACTGAGTTATTGAAAATAAGAGATTAGTGAAAGGGGCTACAGTCTCTTTATTAACTCGTGTGCTCCTCGTCAGCATAGTGAGGCTGAGTACCATGGCAAGGGCTTCATTCCTGTGGAAAGGCCAAGCTCGGCTACTTCCTCATGGTGATGAATGAAGAAGAATCCTTTCAAGAATTTTTTAAGAAAATAAATTTGTGTTTAGTGAAAAATTAACAATTTGGAAAGAAAAAATACTATATACTTCTCTTACTCTTCCTTAAAAATACAAAAGCAAGACAGATTTCCCCTCCAATAAAAGGTCCTTTTCTAATGCATCAACGGGGCTGAGTTTTTTTCTGAGAGCAGGTCTGGATGTGAGGGCGTCCTCAGCAGCACATGGTCGTGACGGGAACCGGTACCGTGTGAGTAGCCCTGAGCTAACACTGGGTCTGTCTTCTGTCCACTACAGGGAGCACGACAAAGATCCTGAGGGTTTCTTTAAGGTATTAATGCATCTGAAGGACCTAGGACTCAACTTCCATGTCTCTGTCCTTGGAGAAACTTTTACAGATGTCCCAGGTACCCATTTTGAATTTTCTAGTGTGTGTGTGTGTGTGTGTTTGTTTGTATTGTTTTTATAGAGAGACATGAGCTCTCCAACTGAAGTATTAATTTCTTCTTTGTTAGAATAATCAAGATGAGCACTGTTAACCAAGATTATATGACAGCATTAAAGTCTGATTCAATTAAAAAAAAACACTTAAGTAAGCATTCTTTGATTTAAGTAGAGAAGAAGCAGTCATCTCTCTTATCAAATATGTTTATACAATGTATTTTATGTAAACAAAATATATTGCTTTGGGCATCTTATTGCTACAGAAAGTGAAAGTTATAATTGAATGTACGACCTCTCCACCTCTGGGGTCACAGTTTTGCATCTTGCTCGTGTTGGTAATGGTCACCATCTGTTAGGTGCCCTGTGTAAAGCATCGGACATCTAGCGTAGATGTGGGGCGGGCCTTGGCCCATATTATTGCTGTCATTAGTCTTTGCCTCTGTACTGAGCTGAAGAAAGTTAAGGTGGAAGCTGTCAATAGCAGATCCTCTCGTTCCTTATGCTAAACAGCACCTTTTCAGGGTCATTTCTTTCATCTTGTATCCCTGTCTTGTATAATGGGATCAGTAAAATATGGAATTTGACACCTCTCTTAAGCATTTTTGTTTGTTTTTTTACAGCCTGGGTTGTAAACGTTGTTCTAAAACCAAGCAACAACAAAGGTTCAGACATAGTCTTGTTGAGTAGTGTCTTGCTGTGGTGTGTTCTGACACTGAACACTTAAGGCACACTCCTCTGGGCAGTGTTTTCTGGTTGTGCCTCAGTATCAGGAACTGCAGCTATCCTGTCCTAATCAGCCTCATCTAGTGGCTTGCCTTCTGCCTTCTGCCTTCTGCAGGGTATGCACCAAACCTTGCCCTGCTCCCCTTAGGAACCAAGCTTCTGTGGACCCTGTCTGCCTGTTGGCTTCTAGTTTATCATTTCGGTCTCAGCTTTGAAGCATGTTCTTGGCTGGAAGTTCCCCATGTTCTCCTAGCACACTGTTTTCCTTCAAGGTGCTTCCTATTATCTGTCACCTTCACTGCATGTGCAGAGTCACTAGGGTTTAGAATGGAGCATACAGGAGGCTACTAGAGACGGGACCTGTCCTGTTCATTACTATCTCCCGAAACACTGACCAGTGGCATCTAGAGATCGGTAATACTTATTAAATAAGTAGCAAAAGTAATTCATGCGACCTCTCATCTGGGAATTTATAGTTCTGTTAAGGAGAGAGCATTTATGTGTAAACACAGAAAACAGAGAGGGGACCAAGTCAACACAGTTATGCATGAGCAATGACACATGGAACTTAGAGGGTTAACAGTGTATTAATAACCAAAGCTACTGGAATAGCCAGAAATAAAAGATTAATTAAATTATTTCAAACAGGGAAAAGCATACCAAAGCAAACATTTTAGAAACTGTATTTAAAGGAGGCAAACTCCAATGAGTAATGCTATGGCATCGTTAATGTGAGTGGAATAAGGGGATTCTACAATGCAGTGTAGTAAGTTAATACTGTCTTCCTCAGACAGGGGAGTGCCAAGATAAGGAGAATGTTGATCGCTAAAGCAAATGAGGTGCAATGAGGCAGAGTCTGTGTTAGAGGCTCTGATGGGGACCCAGGGTGACTGCAGCAGTGGCAGAGAGACGAGTGAGGGGACTGTGTAAGAGGGAAGCAGAGAAGAGGGAAACAGATGGGCAGTTGTACAGAAAGAAGGAAAGAAAAATGCCAACTTTCATAGTTGGTGAATTCCGTTTGCGTGTGCTGCCATTGACTGCTTGCGGATGGACTAGCAGAAGACGCTAGAGGAAATGCCTGAGAGGTTTCTGAACCAGCCTCACCACAGTATAATTTTAGCCTCCTTTGTGAAGCAGGCTCGATTTTTACTTCAAGCAGCACATCCACGGGTACTTTAGGATCTTTACTCTTCCCATCCCACACATTGCCTTTGAGCTATGTAGCACTGAGGAAAACTGCAGCCGGGATGTCGTACGGTCCTTCCAGTGTGCTGTGGAATCTACAAGAAAGAATATCATGCTTTCTGTCTGCATGTTCCTTTATTTCCACTTTATGTCTCAGCCACTGGTCCATGTGTCATGATGGGAAGCAGCCCTCCACGGCCAACATACTTCTGCTTTTTTATCATGAACTGCAAATACTGAAGGACTGAATGTTGCTATCCAGATGGTGTCTTTTAAAACTATGTAGCCTTTACCCCATGGCCATTCTGTATAACTTCGGTCATTCTTGTCATTCTTCTGATGTATTTAACAAATACTTACATGGTGCTTACTGTATTCCAGGTACTATTATTATTCTAAGCCACTCACAAACATTAACTAACTGTTCATATACTCCTGTTCGAGATCAGCTCCCTTTTTTTCTTTTATAGAGAACCAGGGTAATAAAGAAACCAAGCAAGTTCATACAACTAAATGAAGCTCTAACTGTGTATGCTGTTCAGAGTTTCGTGTACTTGTTTCCTGACTCAACATAATCTAACTAAAGGAGGTAATTTTTCCCTAACTCACATCTAACAATCCTACCTTCCAAGCAATCATAAGCATTATATATACTACTTACTTGACGTGTAGACAAATAGTGACTCTGGGTAGAGAAAAGTAACTATTAATAGTTGCTTTTAATAACTGCCTATAAGTCATCTTTTATATTCGTATAAGAAAGAAGGAGTATATGATATAGGAACATTGGATGATTTTCTCCAACTTGATCCTGTAAAAGCAAGATGGGCTCCTGCACACTTGTAATCCCAGTGCTCCAGTTGCTGATGGAAGAGGATCTCTAATTCTAGGTCAGCCTGAGCTATCTAGGGAAACCATGTCTCCAAACACACATTCCCTTTATCTCACACAGAGGCGAAAATACCACTACTAAGTAAAGACACTAGTACCAACAAGATACTGCTATCAGCACTAAATTTCTTCTAAAAATATTAAGACTATGGTGTAATTTTGTGTGGTTTCACTACAAGCAAAACTAATTTTACAAAAATCATTTTCCTGGAAAGTGTGACAAAATTAAGAAGGTCCATTAAGTTTTATAGCCCTGAGAGTCATAACTCTTTTGTATCCTCTTTTGAACCTTTGTTACTTTTTACAAAAGAAGAGGAAGCAAAGGGGTGGTTGGTGACTTATCCACTCCTCCCTCCTAGCTACACTGGACAGCGCAGGAAGAGCCAGGCCAGGAGCTGAGCAGGTCATTGCCTCCATCCCTCAGGGTTGCTATGCTTGTGAGCACACCTGTTTTGAGTGTCTCTGTTGTGCCAGTCACTGCAAGTAGGCTAACTGATAAGTAGGAGGCGTGGTCTATCACATGGGGTAGAACATGGTTTGCTGCTTCATTGATCACTTCTGGAACACTGTCTCCAGTGTTAATTGATCATTCAGCATGTGCCTGGCACGATCCTTCCTCCATTGCTTTACTTAGTCTTCACAATAAACCCTACAAATTGGGCAGCATTGGAATTGCTACTTATGGGAAAAATAAGACCACAAAGGAGTGAAGTTTCGCAAAACCATAATCCAAACATTATGCAGTCTCCAAGGCCAACACTTAGCCTGCATGCACTTTTTGTGGGATTCCAGACCTCTGTCCATTTTACATGGAAGCACACAGGAGGTGTTGTTATAGGAATCCTGATCACGCCTGTGTATCAGTTCCATGTCCTTTAATAAACCTTTTGCAAATGAAAAGCCATTTTTAAAGACTTCAAGTCTATGTCCTAAATATAGTTCACCCCTTAGGCATTAAAGTGTCTTCATCACAAGAAAGTTAGCACAACAAAATATGAAGTAGAAAAATAGCCCACATAATATTCAGCATCATAATAATTTAGTATTGCTCAAATTGCAAAATAACTTTGTCATACTAGAATAGTACAGTTTGCATATATTATCAAGTTTAGAGAATATACTTTGAATCAAAATCTTAAAGAGTTACGGGGGGATAAAAAGCATATTTTCTGTGCACAGCAATGTGAACTCAGACAAGTTCTGAGTGATTTGCATTATGTTTTCTGTTTCAACACAAGTAACCTGGATTTAATATAGTTTTTAAAAGTTCTTCTCAACTCTCAGCTCTTAAATTAAAATAATCTAGACTACACTGAGGTGGAGAAAACCTTAAAATTTCAATGACTTAAAACACAAAATAAATGTTCCTTGTCTACACCATGTGTTTATGCAGATGAGTGGGATTGGGGATGTCATGACCATGACAGTCAGTGAGGACCCTAGCTGATAAGCACATACTAACTATGATCTGAAGTATTACCACCTACCCGAAGAACTACCAAACTCACTCCCGATGTCACCAAGTAGCCGCACTAGCTTGGAAATAGCACTGGGCCCTGCTCCTCTTTAGCCAAAACTTCAAGGTACTGCTCAGTCCTAAGGAAACCCAGTCCTGCTCTCTGACAAAAAAAAAAAAAAAAAAAAAAAAAAAAAAGCAGGAAATGGAAAGAATTAGATGAACTGCACTATGGGCCATCAGAGCTCATTAATGTACACCATGATCTGTAGTTCCACAGAGAGAAAGCCATTCCTCTCCAGGTTTCCACCCTCATCTAAGTAAATCTTGTCCAGCTGATGGAGAATTTACAAATGTGTGGACATTGCCTGCAGTCTTCTTGTTGAAAGATACCTGACAGTATCTGAAGATTCATCTGGTATTTCACATCCTTTAAGAGGGAACCTGTATGGAGGAGATGTAGTCTCTGAAATAGGGTAGGTTCATCTAGTTGTTTTGGCACTTTACAAAACTTATAGAGATTGTTAACTAGGAGTGATTTCCTTCCATCCCTGCGGACATTTGACAACATCCACACACAGTTCTGTCATAACTGTTGGACGGGGTTGGCTCCTGCCAAATAGGGTACCAGTTATTCTTCCAAACATACTAGAAAGTACAGGGTCAACCCAACATCAAAAACATACCTAACCTAATAAAAATATCGGC